CTGAGCTAAATCCCCAGCCGCTTCTTGGTCCTTTTTTGAGACAAGGTCTTACTGTGTAGTTCAGACTGGCCTTGAGCTCACTTTGTAGCCCAGGCTGGTCTCAAACTCAGAACGATCCTCCTGCCTTAGCATACCGAGTGCTGGGATTACAGGCATGAGCCACTATGCCTGGCTAGGATTCGCTAGTTTTAAAGGTCATAGAGCCAACAACCCCAGTGTTATCTGCAGACCATTTGAGGTGCAATTTATACTTGACAGCATATTCCTGCATCCTGTTATCTGCTCTGAAAGTGCAGGGTTTAGCTGGCCGAGGTGGTCACACCTTGTCTCATCCTTCAGTAGGCCTTGAGGGCAGGCGTTCAGTGTCTTAGGCAGTGGAGAACACATGCAGGACAGCTCTAACTCAAAGCCTGTCCCCTTGGGGCAAGCCCTTAGAGGGTCACCCTTGGAAACTTCCACTTCCTGTAGCTGTGAGTGGCCTGGCCACGTGACACTCAGGGCTCTCTGCTGGGGCACTGTCCTCAGTGGCTGCCCGTGGCTACGAGGCCTCTTCCTGGCCAATCCCTCTGCAGAGCTTCCCTGATGCCATGGGTCAGCACGGCCAGGCATCTCCCACAGGGACATAGGCAGGGACTGGGGACAGACCCTTGCTGCTATATTTCTTCCCATGGATCCCTTCAAATACAGAAGCACCCTGTCGCCAGCAGGAAGCAGGAGGCCGGCCTCACTCAGCCCATCTTTCCTTTCTGAGGACAGTGCCTCGCTCTGTGTATTTCCATCTCCCTCAACTGCAGGCCAGGTGTGTTCAGCTGAAAGGGAAATCTTCGGGGCCAGGGCTCCCCTTCTGTGTGCTCCCCTCAAGGCTGTGTGACAGTCTGTCCCAGTCCTCTCCTCCCTTCCCCTCCCCCTGGCCATGCAGGTGCCGAGGGTCCCCCTTCTGTCCCTCATGCTTTGTGTCCTTTGCGGTGGTGAGCCTAGGGTGATGCAACTGTAGGGTGAGACTGGCCTTCAGTGGATCTCAGTCTGAACCTGCAAGTGCACGTCAAGCATTGTGGAAGCCACAGGTTAAGGTGGGGGAGGTGACACACAGCTGGCAGGCCAGGTCGAAGAAGATGATCAGTGCTCGGGTCAACCCCTTGAGGAAGACCCTGTAAGAGCGGGTGGCAGTCAAGCGTCGCCCCGGGCTGCAGGCCTGAGCTCTGCGAGTTCAGGGAGTGAGGCAGGTGGTGACGAGGCTGAAGCGGGGTGGGTGGGGAAGCCAAGTTTCTAGTTTCTAATATATAAGAA